CCAGCTCTAGTAGAATTGAATTGTTATAAGAAGATACCTTCCCCTGAGAAGGAAAAAAAAATTCACAAACTATTAGAAATTTGAAAAAGTGCCTGTGGAAGTATAAAAGTTAAGAATTTAAGCAAATATCGTAAGTATCACAGACCTGCCAGTTTGCAACAATGACGTAAAATTTCAGAAAGAAGCAATGCAGCTTTGAAAAGGATATATGAGGGTACTTCAAAAAGCTCATAGGAAATTGAATTAAAAGATAATACAAATCCTCCCATAAAATTTCTGAAGACCCCTCCTACATCACTGAATACTTACAGCTAACAGCCACTACACCAAGCCAAGTTTAGCTGAAGCAGACCAGAGACATAAAGGATAAATATTTTCCTACAAAATATATAACAGAAGCCACAGTATCGATACATCTGATTTATTCAAACACATGCATGATCATATATAATCAGCAACAGAATGGATAATGGGTATAATTTCTTTTAAAAAATTAAGAAATCTCTGCAAAAAATAAAAAGAAATGAATTAAATGCATATTGCTATGGGAATCATCAACTAATATAATTCCACATGGAGAATATGATGACTCATTACAGTGTTGAAAGAAACCCAAATGTCCAGTCAAACCTCAGATTCTCACACACCCAAATTAAAAACCTATACTAAAGAAGCTGTAAATTTCTAAAACTTGCATTCATTAAGAACGCAACTAATTCCAATTGCATCCTACCCTTACTGCCAAAGGGCCTTTACTTATAGTTAATTCTTTTTCTTCTCTTTCTAATGATTGCCTGATTTAGCCCCACTTGAGAGGGCATGGACCAGACCTGCCCCTTATGCCTTATGCTTGGCAGCCTGAGGTATCAGGACAGTATGCGATTTAATCTCTCACCATCAAATATGGAAACTCAACCTTATTATCTCTATCCTAATAAACAGAAAATTTCAGACAAAAATTAAATTGGTCAAAAACAAATTCTTTGCTGATCTTGAATAGAGAATAAGAAGTACAGATTAAGAAAACTGAAAAAAAAAAATCACTCCGATGATGGAATTTTTCTTTTTTCATCTATATTAGTTCTACTTTGCTACATAACTCCTGTCCCATAGGCATGGTCTTCAGGAACAGTCAACCAAGCAAAGAATCACACACATTAAATACAGAAGCTAATTGTCCCAGCTCCATTTGTGAATAACCCACCCCTTCCCATGCCTGAAATGCTTTGATTGTATACCGAGCTCTTATCTGTACACAATGGCAACTTTAAAGACTAGCCTGTCTATTAATTTGGGGGAGGCACGGAAAGCCTCCTATTTAATGTTTTCCAGCATTTTCTTGCGTATTTTCTTCTCTCCTATCTTTCCCAGCTTGGCTGGTCTCAACTGCCCTTGTGTCTCAGCTCAGAGAAGTCTTCGTAAGCACCCAAGCTAAATCAATACTCCCACTGTACCCCCACACTCTATCACATCATAGTTTTTTTTATCATGAACCAAAATTACCTTGTTCATTTACATGTCTCATTTCTCTCTCTCCTCACCCCTACCCACCATTGGAACATAAGCCCCAAGACAACAGAGACTAAGACGTGTTGTTTTGTTCATGTTTGCATGCCTAGCACTGAGAAGCTTGCTTGGCAAATAACAGGAATTCAAATATTTGTTAGATGAATTTGGTATGAATAAATGAGACCATCAACTTAATATTAGTATTTACATAAAGGATTTTTATATTAGATGAAGCTCACAGACATATGAAAAATAAAATGGAAAGGGAAGGTCCATTAAAATGGAGTTTCAATAATGTAGGTATGAAGTGATATGATCTAAAATATGGTGGTAGTAGGAAATATGGAGGAGGAGAAAGAAACTTTCATGAAAAAATATCAGCAGTAATTAGGAAATGATTGAGGATAGAAGAAAAGATTGATGCAAATATGACTAAGGTTTTTAATTCCAGGTGTCTAATGAAGTGGTAGTATTAATACATGCACAGTGAAGCCAAGTTGAGAAGGGAAGTCACTTTGGAGTAATGAATATAAATTTGTTACAGGGCTATTTGATGTTAGTGGGACACCTAAAAGGAGCTAACTGAAAAAGAAAAGTAAGCATAGGAAGAGTTACCACTAAAATAATAAAGTTTTAGGGAACTGAAACAAAGAGGAAATAGGGAAGGATGGGAAGTCTAAAGAAAACAATCCAAAGGAAAGTCAAAGGGGCCTAGCCCGTGGTAGAAAGTCAAAGAACAAGCATAAGGAATTAAGAGGAAATGGAGTTGATAAGAAACATTAAAATAAAATCAAAAAGAATAAATCTGTGACGACAGCCTAAAACATTCTATAAAGGAGTAATGAGGAGCAACCTGCCCTTCCAGTTGGCAAAAGCTGTTAAAAAAAGAAACCATATCTGTGGCTTAGAAACAGACACATCAGTAAGTCAGAGTATTTTAAATATTTACATTATTAAAATGGCCAGCAAATTAGTGGGGAGAGAATTGACTTTTTTTTAAGTTTCAATCAGGATGATTTAAAACAAGCTCACAAGAAAAAGCAAAGATACCATGTGAGGGAAACCAAAGGACTGAGATTTTAAAATAGCATGCTCATACAGGTTTTCAAGAAAAATTGCATGAGTAGGTCAAAACAGGCATAAATGATGTCACAATGACAGGCCAGAAAGAGCATAGGTTCTAGGTTTTCTCGATATGGTTCCTCTAATCAGAGGGAACAAAATGCCCAGTGGAAGAAAACAACAGGATTTTTAAATATGAAGTAACAGCCTAAGTAGTGTGACAGCTGATGGAATAATCAGGTTAGTATTCCTATTTCACTGAAGTGTCTTGTTTTTCTTCATGTATCACTCTTTGAACCATCCATTAGTAGGGAAATAACAGATTATAAACCAGAAGATTCTTACTGGTAGGAAGGTTTGGCTTGATGTAAAATAATTACTGGGTTAGGCAAAAAAACACTTGCCATGTGACCAATCAACAATGAAAACCCAGAAACTTCAGAAGCATGCAAATTTGCCCTGTCTTCTAGAACATATGTGATAAATACTTAAGAAGTATCTGATGAATGACAGAAAATAAGAAATGGTCCAAAAAACATAAAGAAAACTATTGAGCTAATTATTGAGAAGTAAAGCAATAACCATTATCACTTAGTGACAGCTACAAAAATTAGGGCTGAAAGTCTTACAGAAACAACACATCAGGAAATACTTAATAATATATATTTATAAAAAATAACAGAAACCATACTTAAAATTACTATTGTTAAGAAGATAAAACTAAAATTAAGACAAATTGTAACTGTAAATTCAAGACTTTAATTTTTTTTTAGTTAAGTAATAGGAAACTCCTATATCTAAAAAAAATTTACTTCAAACAAAACAAATACAGGCCCTTCCAAGTATCTCCATTTAGTTAGCATCAGTTGAACTACAAGCATCAAGTGAACTATAGTATTTCTCTAAAAGGCA